GTCGTTGTTGATGTTCGTGACCTTCAGCTCATGCGGGCCGTCATTTAAAGTAGTGTTCGAGTAGCCCACGATACTCCGCGAGGTTGCGCCAGAGGCGCCACCGAATTGAATGTAATCACCGACTTTGACGTTGTCAAGGAGGATCTCGCATTTGACGTCGTCTTGGTTGGCAAAGTACACGTAGACGGAGTGACCTTGAATGTTTTTTAAATACCCAATAGCTCCAGTTTCACAGAAAGCGTATGAGAATTGGCAACGCACCGCTGAACGGCACCGTGATAGTCCCCCAGAAAACCGTCATCGTCCCATTCTGCAGTTTGCTGAAGTCGAATACATTGGACGCCTGTCCAGGTATGCGGCATGTGCTGTCTTTGAAGGGAAGAATCTGCTCCTCCGAAGGACAGCTAACGAAAATGCCGCTGCGGTCGTTGGCGGTGTTGTTGTATTGCACGAGAGGGCTGGTGTCGTCGATGGTGTGGTTGGTTGTTGCGGAAGTGGAAGAGGGAGAGGACATCAAGCCCTGTAGTTATACCGGACCCAGCGAGAAGGGGAGAATCGAAGGGGCGCCCGGTGAAGGAGAAAAGAAGAAAGGCGTGGGAGGACGAAATTCTCCCATCTGTCAATCAAGCTGGGCGCCTATCGCCAGTCCAATTCCCGCTGAAACCTGCAGCTTGAACCGCCTTAGCTCGTGAATACTTTCTGCTGTGCAGAGGAAACACCCGTGAAAATTAGGGGAACAAATTGAATAGGCTATTAGGGCTGGGAACGAGTTAGTGCCACACAATTTCAAAGCCAAGGAGAAACTGTGAGTGAACTGAAACCTGTTCATGGCTTTTAGTACTTTGAGATGTGAAGGGTTTAAGTTTGAGCGCCGGAGGAAAGGTCCAACTGAAACTCACCTCAAGAGTCAAGAGTCAAGCTTGACTCAGCCAACGAGGGCGGAAAACCATCTTCCCTTGAGCGCCTTTCGATACCTGATCGACGCTTGTCGTGCTCGGCGCCGGCAAGGCCCATTCGCCCACAGATTTTCGAAGTTGGACAAGCGAACATGGGAGTTCGGGACAAGAAATGATGTGTTGTGCTCTGTTGATACTGAAAGGCTACCGCTGCCGAGTGTCGGCAAGATGGCTTTGCTCTTGACCACCACAATCCCACCACCTCATCCAGCACGCTCGCTCGAGTTCATCGTTCTCTGAATCCATCGGTCTTGGCCTTCCACTTCATTCCCTCCAGCCCTCGAACTTCATCCTACCTCAAGCTTGACTTCCGTATCCCGAGAACGGAACCCAATTCTGCGATGTCGTTGGCAGTGCGCGTTGGCGGCATGGCTTTTCCGACTTTTCATCAGAACTAGATACCCTTCGTTGTGATACATCACCTGCATCTTGACGATGGCAGCTTCCGTGCGGCGGACCTTTCGACACTGTTTTCACCGCGCTGCTTTCCCATTGGCCGGCAATCTTGGAACGAAAGTTGTAGAGGCGACATGCGAAGTTTTTCTCTGTTCTTCTGACGGCGCTGTATTCCATTTGCCCTGTGCATCAGATACAGAATCAACGAAGAAAGATGATTCCCAGGCATGCAGTGATGATGTCTATCTTCTACGCAGCATAACCAATCTCAATTAAAACAGGGAGGGATGTGTTAAGGAACCGAACAAGGGTGGCTTCCCTGCCATCACATTCGGCCCTTCTTTTGAGCAAGACCGTTGCGCAACATCTTCTTCTCGCGCTCACTCTCTCCCTTTCCCCTCTCTCCCGCCCCTCCACCACTTTCCCCGCTAAACATGCTGCCCTCGCTCCTCCTTCTGACTGCATGCGCCATCTGCATTGGTACTTACCTCCTCTTCCTGCGGGGCCACGCCCGACGAGCCACTCACCGGCTCCCACCTGGCCCACGTCCCCTTCCCATCGTCGGGAATCTCTTCGATATGCCAAGGGCCAGGGTATGGGAAACATTTCTTCAGTGGAAAGAGCTCTACGGTGCGTTTCCTTGTCTCCATCCCAACCCCTACCTCGTACGCATGTCTGTGTCTGAATTCTGAACGTTACCTCCTGACAGGCGACGTCGTGTACCTCAACGTCCTCGGCCGGCACATCGTCTTCCTCAACTCCGTCAAAGCCACTACCGAACTCTTAGAAAAACGTGGCACGCTGTACTCCGACCGACCTCAATTCCCGCTTATCAACCTGTTCGTCTCCTCCTCTACCTTTCCTGTTCTTTCAACTCCATTCCTGAGAATACTCCTCTCAGAGCTGGCCACCAATGGAACTTCGGCTTCATGCCCTATGGCAAAGAATGGCAATCCCTCCGACGCACGTTCAGCAGCCAATATAACTCCGCCGTTGCCCTGCGCTCGTTTTACGACGCCCATCGAGCTTCGGTGTCGACGTTTCTCGTGAATGTGCTTAACGAACCGAAGGAGGTGGCTAATCATCTGCGTCTGTGAGTCTCGCTCATCACTCGCTCTGACTCCTTCTACATCACGATCTGGAGTGTGGCATTGGATTTGGAGTCGAATTCCGAACGCAATTTACTTATTGCTCTTTACACGCAGACGCTCCGCACAAGTAATGTTCCACGTCAACTATGGCATCTCCGTCACCTCCTGGGACCACCCACTCGTGCGCAACGCTGAGCGCGTAATGGAAGTGGTGTCGATTGCGCTGAGCCCGAGTATGTGGATTCTCAATCCTATTTCATTTTGTGAGTGCGCATTCAATTTTTTTTTTGTATTCGGAATGTTTAATAATTTTGTACATTGACTTCATAATTGGCAGTGAACGCTATCCCGCGCTGGCTGGGCGGAGCCGCTGTTGCTTCTATGGTGGATAAATGGCAGGCGGATGTGAGGGAGTTGAGGTATGAGGCGTTTGCGCAGGTTAAGGAGTCAGTGGTGAGTTCGGATTATATCGCGTTCAAAGTCTAAACGGTTTCCTTCACTTGATACTTACCGTTTCGTTCACAGGAAAACGGAACCGCCAAGTCATCATTCACTGCGAATCTGCTCCGGGAACCAGCTGATGAAGATATTGTTGCGGATAGCGATACGAATGCTATTGAGAAAGAGAAAGATAAGGAGAGGTTGATTCGTGATACTGCTGCGATTGCTTTGGGAGGTATGTCTACCATCGTCTCGTCTCAATGTTCTGCACAAAACTGACGAAATTATTTCATTTCAGCTGCATACGAAACTGTTCGTCTCCTTCTCTCCTATTATATTTCATTCAATACAATCCTCAAACTCGTTACTCCCCACAGACCTTCGTCGCATCCGAAGTCTTCCTCCTCATGATGGCTCTCCACCCCAACATCCAACTCGCCGCGCAAACCGAAATCGACTCCGTCCTCGGAGGCACCCACCGCCTACCCGACTTCAGCGACCGCGAACGACTGCCGTATATCACCGCTGTGATGAAAGAGTGTTTGCGGTTTCATTCGCCGGCGCCGACGGGGATCCCGCATGAACTTGCGCAGGATGATGTGTTTGAGGGGATGTGGTTGCCCAAGGGATGTATGGTTATGGGGAATATTTGGTGCGGTTTTGATTCTTGCATTTCGCTTGATTGTTTTGGCTGATTTTATGGCGTGAAAAGGCAACTTTTGCACGACCCTGAGATGTATCCCGACCCGTTCACCTTCAATCCCGGGCGGTTCATTGACAAGGAGGGGAAATTGGATTGTACGACGAATGATCCGAGTCGGTTCGCGTTTGGGTTTGGCAGACGGTACGTTTGGGGTGCAGACTCGCATTTCAGCACTCTTCACTTTTGCATTGGATTGAAAGTTGAACTCGAATTCACTAACTTGGTGTTTACCCTAGCGGCTGTCCTGGACGACTATTCACGGAAGACTCCCTGTGGCTCATGACTGCGCAGTTCCTGGCTGCGTTTACGATCTCTCTGGCGGAGGGTGCGCCACGGGAAGCGAGGTTTGCTCCAGGTGCTATTTCGTGAGCAGTTTTCTTTATACGGGGAAACAAGTGTTGCTAATTAATTGACCGCAATTAGTCGCCCGTTGCCCTTCGAGCACATAATCAAACCGAGGTCGTTGGTCGCGCAGAATCTCATAGAACACCTCCAGGATGCGGCTTAGATTTATCAAAAGAAAGAAATATCTCGAGTTATGTAATTTTTAGACAACGATTGGTTTTCTTAACAGTGAGATTGCTTGATTATATCGCTGACAACTTATTCTCTAACCCTTATCTTGATTTGGTGAACGTGCGGTTCAATCCTTCAACTTCGGGGTTTGACACGCGGCGGGATCTCGTCAAGACAAATCAGCTTCTCTGTATCAGCTGGTGTTCACGAAATTCAAAAGGTTGCTTCTGTTGAGATGGGTTCCCACCGAGGCAATGTTCTTTGAATGTTATATCAGAGGATATGCATGTTCGATTCCACGCATGGACTCTATCTCCGGCCTCGGGCTCGATCATGCTCACAATGCTATCCTCATAATAATGCACTGCGGCCGAACAAAACTTGACATGAAACTTAGCGCGTCGAATTTCATGGATAGGATATAGAAATTGGCTGACATTATCTTGGGGGGTATTAGTGCGCTTCAATATAGCAGATTTCAGAGATCGACGAGAGGAAAGGTTGACCGAGGGAAAATACGACCTTTTGCAGTGATGCGATTTAGTAATTGAGAAACCCTGCCAGAAAAATGAACAGGCGGCTATACATAACGAAATTTGAGGTCGTTCAATCTGTCTCTCAAAAGCCATTCAGCCACCGAGGGACCAGTAGATTCGAGTGAGTAGCGTTTGAAAAGACTGGTTCTACTTGCTAATGAGCGAAGACGTGTTGCCGAAAAATTGACTGGACTCGCGAACCACGAGAATTGGTTGAATAAATAGGCTACCACTCTCACCCGCTGGAGTTCCATACTGGTAAGTATATCGTGTGTCAATGATTGTGGGGGTTGTAGCGACTCACTTCAAAAGAGTCCTATCTCACCGTGATGTGACGTCTCTTGTGGCAACCAAGTTCAACGGGCACATGGTGTAGTTGGTTATCACGCTCGCTTAGCAGTTCTGCGGGTATTGGGTTCACTTCCCAATGTGTGCGAGAGGTGTTGGGTTCAATTCCCAATGTGTCCATTTTTCCACCTTTTTACCTTCACCGGAAACCTCTTCACAACGCTCTCCGACCTTGGTTGACGACCATCAGTCGAAATGAGCAACATCCGATGACCTCGCCAATAAAACCGTGAAGAAATAGTATTTTGCTCTACATCATCGACAGATCGAATGTATACATTGTCGACTCCCACCATACCAATTTTCAGACTTCTAGGTGACGTGGAGGTCGAGGAAGGTTGAACGTCCCTGATTCAACCGGGTTTGATGGTAACAATGTTGGCACTGTGTTGGTCCTACTTTGGTCCTACTTCAACGGTGAGCCTGAGGCTGGGTTAACGTTATAAGCTCCAGAGAGCTTCTTCATTGACCGGAACTCCAAACTTTGCTGCGATCAGAGTCACCTATTTGCCCTTGGCCTGGGCTTCGAGATAATGAGAAGTTTGAGCTCAAATTTCTTTGCGTTTCGACTTGTCGAGCATTCGGAATTGACCTATCGTGACTGCCCCTCAGAGTTCGAGACCGAAGTGCTCTCACCGGGTCTTGTGGTTTATCCCTTGTTTTTGTTTCATTCCTCGAACACGAAAAAATCACGTCACGTGGAGCTTGCGTGACCATGAATGCCCCACCGTGACATATCGTGACAGCGTGACTGGGCCTCTCTCTCATCGTCCACCACTGCTGACTACGCGACGCTCCTACTAACCCGACCGTTCCCTATCCATGGAAGGAAAAGACATATCCTATCTCAATGGTGACCTTTTCATCGACGCTGCAATAAACCTGGGAGCTCATGTCGTGATTGTCGATGGCTTTTTTTCTTTCTTAATTTGCCACTCCTACCAAAGCCTTGTACAAACAGACTCGTTTCTGCTCGATGGATAACTGCTTTAATGTTGAGAATTTGAAAGCATGCTCTCGGTGCAAGTGGGTGCCAAATTCTTTCATGCCACTCAGGCGCATCAAATATGAAAACTGATACGAAAACGTTGCAACAGATGTGCCCGGTATTGCGTGAGTTCTACATTGCCCATGACCCAAGGAGTAATATCTAAAGTTCCTCCAAACAGTCTGTTCAATGTCAAAGTGGGAATCTTCCTTGAACTTGCTTGCCCTCGCCTGATTCTGAAAGCCTACCATCGCATTCGCCATAGGAAACAACTGGAAGCGACACAAACCCATCTGCGATCACAACGTCGAAGAAGCGGACGGGAAAGAACCCACTCTCCAACGCCACCTCCGGAACTGGGTCGCCCGCTTTGACACATCGCTCCTCCACGCCTGCATACGCGGGCTCAACCTCAAATACGAATGGGAAAATCTCAACGAAGGCGCCGTCGTGCTCTTCATGGAGCCTCGCTCTCACCCGAACGTCGCTTGCCGATGGCGCATTCAACACGCTGGGATATTCAGGAACGAGGATATATTGAAGATTTTGGAGGAGTTCAAGATAGCGGAACAATTTCGCGAGCAGGTGTACCCTATGCACGCGCGTGAGAGGATGAGGTTGCAGGAATCTAGTGGTGGAGATGCGGATTATGCGAAGATTTTGATTATTGCAGGGAATGTGGGGGCGGATAGGGTGGAGGGGAATCATCCGCCGACGTTAAGGTGGACGCCGACGGATGTGAGTAAGGGGATGGTTGCTCGGATTCCGATGGAAAAATATGAGGGTGATTGGGTGCAGGATTTGAAAGATCAGGTCGAGAGGGATTGTCCGCTCAACGTCGCTCAGCGTCTGTAGAAGGAAGGATGGGTTGTACAGGGCAACCAATTTCAAAAGGTAAAACTGCAGTGTTCAATATGGGATATATTGTGTACAATTTGTTGATTCTACCGTCGACTCGTTCATCCGCTAACCGTAACCGTGGCCTGTCCAGAACTTGAAAGCCCCTCGACCTAACGCAATCAAGCACGCCAAATGCATCAACACTCGAGTCACGAAACACGACCATCCACTCACCGCCACAATCTGCAAATTCATCGTCCCCAAATTCATTCCCAACGCCGCCCATGCATTTATATGATTCCCAATCGTCACCGACCCACTTGTTCTTTTATTCTGCCGCACAGAAAGATACTGGTTGAACGTGGCGGTGCCTTGGATGGACGGCTGGTCGACTTGCGTGTGTTCGAAGATGTCGTAGGTGGAGCCGTCGGAGACGACCGTGCCTTTGTGTGTGGTGCCGGGGTTGGCGGTGCCGAGGTTGAAGGCGTTGGCGTCTTCGTTGATGTAATATTCGACGAGGGGATTGGTTGACCAGCCTGTGAGTTGATAGAAGCAAGATGATGTAAGGCGAGGTGTGGAGATGAGATGGGAGGACGAACCATAGACCGAAAGGATCGCAGCGGATGAGGGGTTAGGACCCCAGTCTGCGTTGAAGTTCATCACGCGGGTCCTGCTGCCTGGATTGAATCCCTGCCCGACGACGAAGTCGCCGGATCCGCTCCATTGGACGGAGTATTGTCCGCCGGCGATGTTGTTGAAAACAACGTCAAAGCTTCCAGCAACGAAATTCTGCCAGAAGAAACCGTCGAAGGTGCCGGATCCCGGACCTTGAACGCCGCGAGCGGAGAGCTCGGTGATGGTTACATTTGTGGAGGGAAGGAAGAGCGCATATGCGCTTGCTACAGTCAAGGCGAGGGATGAGAGGAGAGTTGTCGAGAAGCCCATTGTTCGAACTTTGAGGGTCGGTGACCTAGAGTCTTTGTAGAATTTGGAAGACTTATGTAGCCAGAGATTTATTACTGCCGCCGATGTTGCTCTGCCAGGAGTTGAAGGTAAATTTAGTGGATGAGAGATTGGTGTCGGTGCGGGGAAATACCGGCTCGATTTGTGGTGCATTTGATGACATTTCAGGATATTGAGTGGTTGGATGTGTCGCCTGACCGTTTGAGCCCTCGGTTGTGAGAGACTGTGGGTACCGGAAAAGTTCGGTATCCCTACCGTCGCTCAAATGTCTACGGGCAAAGATCAAGCCGTTTCTGCCGGACTTTTCAACGTTGGAGGAAGTGTCTGCAATTGAAGTTGATTGTCGTGATCTGAAGAGCAAAGGTGCCGGACAAAAAGTTGAGGTGCGTCAACGGAAAGAATTGACACTACTAGTGGGTCCAGCAGCCGCAACACAAGAACCGGGCCGTGCGAGGAATTGCCCCACGATCGTCGAGCAGCAGCTCAACCGCAGATCATCCCAACTAACTATAGCACCGGCGAGATTGAGCAGGAATAGCGTGGCCAATGAAACTTGTAAGTCGTCCGCGAAATTTCTCGCTTTTGAGGAAAGAAACGGTCGGTGGCCGGAAGTCCATGAAGCCAGTGGTATCAATAAAAGAGCCTGCGCTCAGAAAAGCTGCGTCGAATCGGGGTCGGCCAGCCCGCAGCGTCGTCAGTGCTAAGCCCAAGATTCGGTCGTGGTGGTTCCTGGTTAAGTGCCAACTTGTGGGAATATGTGACAGCGTGATGTTACACTGCCCACCGTGACCGGCAATTCCCGGCCCGTGAGGTGGCCTTCCATCGCTCTCACTTGGCTCTCACCTTGCTCTCGCCATTTACACCGGGAGATGGCAGGGGAGGCGCGACCCCAGCTCGCTCGCAGAGCAGTTGTTGTCCTGTAACCCTTGTTGTTCTCAACTACCACCTTGCCCTTCTACCACTTGCCTTCAAAACGCGCCAAAGACACCGAATTCCGGCGCGGTGCTTATAGCTCAATACACCCCTCGATTCACCCCCAGAATTCACCAAAACTTGCGCGATGTCGGGTTCAGACCGTTTTGTATTGGGCACGTCTCCAACTTTGATCACGATCGCGAAAATTCTGCCCGGTGCACGAAATGGAGTGGAGATCATCTTTGGAGACGGTATCGTTATCGCGGTCGGATACATCCCTTACCCTCTCATGATGCAGGCCAAAAATTTGGAAGCCATTGATGCTGAGGGCAAATGGGTGTCTCCTGGTCTCGTTGACGCGCATTCGCATCTTGGCGTCTAGGCCGTGCCAGTGCACGCAGGGAGGTGGGATGGGGTTAGTGCGTTTCCGGAGAGTTCATTAATGCGGGAGGCCGTGGTGGATGTGTTGAGGGGAAGGGTGAAGGCGAGCTTGTCTCCTGCGATTTTTTCTATATTTTTTAAAGGAATTGGATGGTTTGGTGCTAGTTGTCGGTGCATTGTCACGAGGCAAGTCTTCGATTTCATTCACTTTAATGTGAGTTCAAATTCACTCTCTTTACAGGCGGTCGACTTTGACATGCTCATTCGTGTGCGTTCAACCACTTCCTGCCTACAAAAAAGCTCCTCAATCCGATTGTGATGATATACATCGCCGACATAATGGCTACGGTCCTGAGTCTCAAGGTCGAGTACGAGAACTCTGCGCAGAATACATAATCTTTCAATGACTTTCGTCGGAGCGGCGGAAGCTCATCTGCTTGCGGCTGAAATCGCAGCCGCAGATGTCAGCGTGATTATTTCCCCTGCGCGACCCTACCCAAGCAACTGGGATCCTCGACGAATGTAAGCCAAGTGTATGCGCGATTATTCGTTGAGATTTTGATGATCGAATCACCTTGCTTTAGCTAGGTCCCCCACATTGGAATAGTCGGGCGATTTAAAGTCTGCCATCTGCTGATCGAATACAACTGTAAGATGATCGAATTCATGACGGTGTGCCTGGACCCCCTCTTTCTCCTTCTCCCGATACCGCGGTGACAATTCTCCCCAGGCACGGCGTCAATGTCGGAATTGGTTGTGAGCGCAGGCTATGATGTTCGCAATACGCGGTTTGAGATGGCCTGAGTGCGTGGTTTGTCATAGTGAAGTTCAACCATCCAGTAACGGGGTTATCTTTAGATGGCGTTAGATTCAAACGGTTTCAGATGGACTATCTTACGTCTCAGCAAATATCGAGAAAGCTCTTGGCGTGAAGAAGAGCGCTGGCATGCGGGATGCTGATGAGCTGGTCGTGTATCGAGGAAGTGACGACGCTTTCGATTTTGAGAGCAAGGTCATTGGGATTGTTTCTGCA